GTATTTGTAGAAATAGAGATGAATACACACACATAATTTGACTATAAATCTACTGTATATCAGTTTTCAAAATATATTTATCTTTATCAGAGAAAATTATTGAGAGATATTTCAGGTTCAGCTTGATCTAAGAGCAATATGTTAACTAATGAAGCTACGTGAAGCTGCTTCCCATGCCAATCTATTGCTTTACAACAGACATGGCTTGTAGACAGTGGGTAGAAGATGCACCATCTACATTTTTTAAATTTAAATCAATAAAACAATGCAAACTCACAACAGTTTAAACAACAATAAAGATTTTAGCTGTCTTCAGCCACTGATCCTTGAGGTTAGATTACGCTCATAGTTCCAAACGGTTAGGTATTACAGAATTGAAAAGGGATTGCCTTGAAGGCATTGTTTCCATCCATCATATGAACTGATGTCCTGTACTACACTTAGAATTCTGGATGTCTGATAAAAGAAATACTAATGTTTTGAGTCTCCAATACATCTATAACTGGGAGTTATAGTACTATATATTTTAAAGCAATGCCCATGTATTTATTAAATTTATTTATTATCCTCACCTTATTTTAGTAGCATTTAGTAGAAAGGAGCCTAACATATTCTAGAACCCCAATTAGATCACAGCAACTGCCATAATACAAATTATATTTCAGGATTTATAATACATACAAATTAACTTGGTGCATATCTGACAGGTAATAATCCTTACCAACATGAATGTACTTTTCTTCTGCACAAAGTAAATGTTTTTCTTTACCTAATTTCTGGTTATCTTACAGCATCATACAGATGCTAAATTTTCCTGTGGAATTAAAAGACATATCTGATAATAAATTATATAAATTTTTGAACTAGTCTTTGTATGTGTATTTGTTGAATGATAAAGAAGTATTAACCAGATTGGAAAAAAAGATGGCTACACATTTTCCCTTTTAATTTAATTGCTTAACTGTGGGATACAACAAAAACATTAGAATTTATATAGACCTTTGGCTTCTATTAAATATGAATTTAACAAGTGGTACATTGCCAAATCAGAATTTTTATTACATTGCACCAGGCATGGATGCTGGGAAGGAAAGAAAAAAATCTAGGAAGCTGCTGGCCTTAGACTTAAAAAATTCAGCAACAATATCTGTACCATTGTATACTTGGGAAATGTGCTGTATATAGATTCTAAACCAATTATTCAATAGTTTTAAAATTGTACTTCAAACTGAACAGTTCCAATTTTTCATTAATAGATAATGAGATTATTGCACGACTATTTTTCTCCCTGTCTTCAAAAAATTGTGAATATCCCTAAAATTTATTGTTTTGTAGAAATCTGCTGGGTTTAGTGATTTCCCAGCTAATTTGATAATCCCCTCCATTTAATAGGTGATATAAATCAAAAGTATGCATACACACACACACAAAGAGAGAGAGAGAGAGAGAGAGAGAGAGAGAGATTCCCAAGTCTTAAAGTTCCAGTTAAGCAGCTGTTTCTTTAAATTTAGATATTAAGATTTTATCATCTACCTTGGCTCACAGATTGCTGCCTGTTCTTCATCCTAATATTACACAACCCCTTAGGTTGGATTTCTGTCTGCTCGTAAAGGGTCTGATAATGTAAAATTGTTAATGAATGTGAATCCTGCACTTATTTCTTTAGATGAAAATAAAGTTTTTGATGTAATTTTCTCAAAGTTTCTGACACAGATGTTAACTCATATTAAATTTCCCCAACAATTTTACATTTGGGATTAATGTTTTACTGAATTTCTCATTTTATATGATTGTCAATGGCGTGTCACCTCCTTGATTGAAATGATGCCATTGATGTGAGAATTAATTTTCCAATTTCAGAATATTTGAATGTTATTTAAATTATCACAGCCTGAACTTTCCGTATTGCCACATTTTGGCTGAAATTCACAGGATTGCTAATATGACCAAAAATAATCAGTGACTTCTAAAATTATGTATAGTTCTACTTGGCTTCATGTATATAATATAAACCTAGTTTTATACAAGATACAGAGAGAGAGAAAATTGCAAAAGGAAATTTCTAATTATATCCTTTAAATTAAAGCAGATCAAACTAAAATAGAATGAGTATAAAAGCAAGTTGTTATTAAAATATTAGACAAAATCTAAAGTAGTTAAAAGTTAAATTAGTTGTTAGAGAATTAATAATGTGAATTATTAAAATGAAGGATACTAAAATATTGAACTTCTAAGATATCAAAATATTAAATAATAAGTTGCATTTATTTGTTGTGTATAATATTATAGATAATGCAAATTTTAAACTACTTCACTAATAATTAGCAGGTTAGAATAAAAATACTCAAAATTTTAGATAATTAACTAAGGTATTACATGGGCAGTATATCTTTGCTGAATGTAGTACTCATCACTTTCTCATTAAATCTTTTTTTTTCAAAATCATCATTCATGTTTGTCCCACTATCTTCAACATTGATGAAGAGAAATGTCTCTTAATGGGTTCTGAATGTTCTGGATTTAATGTATTGTATCCTGGAGTTTTTCCATTATGACTGTTTATAATAGTTCGGTGTACTAAAAGTCTAAATCTGGAAAACTCATTTCCTTCCATTTATGAACTACAGCCATCCTTCCTGTCACTAATCAAATCCTTATTTTTCTCCCTAAAGCAACATTAAAAAATATTGTTCTTGTTTTACAGGGATGGAAGATGAACAGATCTGATCCCCAAGCAACAAATGTTCAGAACTGTCAGATCATTGGATAACTCCACCAAATGTGCCAGTTAATCATCTTTAGAAAAAGATGTTGATATTTTGGTTAACAAAGGAACAAAGAATTTTTGTGCATTTTATTATTATTATTATTATTATTATTATTATTATTATTATTATTATTATTATTATATAATGTTGTTATTATCAAAAGGACAAATCTATTCCTTAGTTAAAATATAAGACTGTTGAAATGTGTTTACCCTCATCAACAACAACAAGAGGACAAGAAAGAGGATTTTTGAGCTGCTGATGAAATTTTTCACACATAAGATAAATTTCTAGTTCTTTCTTCCTTAATTTCTTTTGGGGGGAAAACTAATATCTTTGTTATATTATTTTTTAATTCTGTGTATTCATGTAATGCCTTACATGTACCTGGCGGGGGGGACTAACAGAAACATTAAAAATTCCAAACAATAAAATATTATTAAAACAATTATCAGTGAAGTCAGGAAAGAAGTGAAAAAATCACTACGCAGCTAACATCTGAAATGTATGGAATTACAATTCATTATTCCCAATATCAATAACTTAAAAAAAACTTTAATAATTAAAAAGAGGAAAAAGAAATCTAAAAAAGAAAAAATATGATGCAAACAAAATTCAGTAAAATAGAAATATCAGTTCATTTTTAAACACAACATTAAACTTTGAGTACACAAAATAATACTGGTCTATTACCTTCCATTCTATTCCAAGTCAATTCATAAGCAGGTAGCAAAAAATAATGTCCAATAGAGTAACAATCTTTTTGCTGAACTAGAATTATATACTGAGATCATGAATACACTTTGTTTTCTATATATCTATCCAGAAAAATGCTTAAGAGAAGCTTTCAATAATAAATAATTAAAATGAAAATATTTCTATAAAGCATACTATTTACCCTAATCCACCAACAATAGTACCTCATCCGTCAAGTTTTTAAAGTCACTTGAAATTTGCAACTGATGCTTTTTTATCAGAATGTAAGTAAGCAAATGATACAGAATAGCTATTCTAAAATCTGACACTGTATTATATATTTCCTTCATTAACCAGTAATGAGTACTATATTCTGAAAAATAGCAATGAGAAGCATATTTTATTCTACATGCCATGATAAATTTGTTCATTAAATATGGTTCTTAAGTAATTTAGCTATAATTATAATTACAAATTACAAACACTAACATTTTCTATTTTTGTAAAAGCAAACTTTTAAACCAGATAATTAAGAAGATAACTGAAATAAAAGTACAGCCAGTGTAGAATCTTGAGCAATGAGAAATTAAAGGTCTGCACTGTTGTACTATACGGTATATCATAATTTCCCCCTTTAAATAATCATTCCTATTTTCAAAAAATAAAATATAAATACAATGCTTCTGCTTAATCTTATGAAATATCAAATATTTTTTATGAAAATCTGTTCTGTTACAATGAATGGTCATTCTCAACAGTGCCATTTTAGAACCAAGTAACTATCGGCATACAGTCACAAAATAAATCATTAATTTTGCCTTTAAGTTCTTAGACTTCACCTGGTCAGATGAAACCTTAACTACATTGAATCAAAAAACTGACCTAGAAATGCACAAGGATTTTTTTTGTCCTACTCCTTAACTATCAGGGAACAGAAAGGGGGGAGAAAGTCCTGTTAAAGACTGTTATGTAAAACAAGACTGCATTTTGAATGCACCACTTCAAGAAAGAGTATTTCTGTTTGCAAATAAGACAGATTCTACAAACTGTTGCTCTTCTAGCCATGACATGCAAATAAAAGAGTTGCGTGTGTATTTGTACACACACACACACACACACACACACACACACTTCATTTGAGATATTTGATGTTTAAACTCAGAATTATCATATGGAAAGATATTACTCTTACCTCACCTATTACAGATTCTCCAGAAACAATACTAATAAATATATACAAATACATGCAGTGCTCTGAAGAGCTGGGTATATAATCCCTTTAATTTTGAAAGTGCTCTTTCCCACTGCTTTAAATCATTTAAACTGCCAAGAAGTCAGCTTGAATGTTCACTTAATGAAAGCAAATTAACATCGGTTTTTCACAATAAAATCTTTTGCACTTAACAGTCTTCATTTGACTAAATTCCAGATTAAAAATCCTCCAACCTATTTGGCTGGTGTCTAGGTCCCCCCCCCCAAAAAAAAATTATTAAACAGATACAAAAAAAACAGAGTGTGGAAAGAAAGAAGACCAACCTTCACAATATACATCACTCCTGGTCCTAGGATCTTCTCATTTGAATGCAGCCATCCTTGGGGTACTTTGTTGGCAGTGCTGCCACGCTGATTCCAGTCCTCATCTCCCAGGTACATTTCCTCCGACCATGGTTTTTTCCCGGTATTCATCTTGTTCTTGTCCTGCTGAGAAGGCAGGGTGGCAGTGGCAAGGCTACATGTGTTGTCTGAAGTCTCTGCTGCTGAACTACCCTGCAACTTGGCGACAGCCAGCTCTTTCACTGCAGAGGAAAGGTTCTTGATGCCCCAAAGGCTGCCTGTGGAGGAGAGTTTTAAGTGGGACGCTTTAGGCACAAGAGTGGAAAGGGTGGTGCTTCCACCATGCTCCTTCTGGAGGTTCTCAGGTGAGGCCAGATATGGCGAAGACGCTGAAATGGTATCTGTTGAGGATAACTTGCTGTTGATGGACCAGTTATGGACCGTATCATCCACTGATGTCACCGAATCATTCCTGAAGCGGTTATACTTGGAACGCTGAAGCATGCCCTTCTATCTGGAATCTTGTGTTCGTTCCAGCAAACAGGAAACCCCTCTACTAACATAGCAGATGATTTAGAGTATCAAAGATGGTCAGTGAAAATGTGGCCATGGGGAGGAGCTTGTGGTTTTTTTTAAAAGAAAAAATGAAAGGAATTTTGCTTAAGGTTCCATGGTAAGGCTAGGCAAAGCGGTAATTTTCTGTGCAACAGAAAGATCCCAGTCCAGCTCAGAGCTGCCAAGTCTCTCACAGCAAAAGCATGACTCACCCAAATGAGAAGGACCCTTTTCAACAAAAGGCTCAGTGAATGCTGCAAAGCACTTCCTGTAAGGAAAAAAAAATCCACCCACTTACAGCACACTACCTCCAATCAATTCTCACATTTCCTTTCCCTATTTGAAACAGATATTTAGCCTTCCTTCCTTCCTTCCTTCCTTCCTTCCTTCCTTCCTTCCTTCCTTCCTTCCTTCCTTCCTTCTAGGTGAATATCTGCAATGGCTCAAAGCAATTGCATTAACTTTTTTCCCTATGTAAAGTACTAGCCTATTTTAATGGCTTTATAAAATATGCCCCAGTGTGCAACTATTCAAAAGCAGAAAGCAAATGCTACAAATTCTACACAGTACAGAATCCCTCATTCTCTCTCTGTTTTCCAGAAAAGCTCATTATCAATTAAAATAGCCATATGTTTGTCACTATAATCACCAAAGTGCAGTCTTTCTTTCAAAACCACAGTGTTCTGATTCTGGAATTTTTAATGCCAGCAGTTTTATATTAAATGTTGTGCTGTAAAATATGAAAAACATATGGCTTAAGTAATTTGTATAAACACACACATATGCATATTTTCTTTAATCTAATATTTCAGGACAACTAAAGGACAACTGAAAAATATTTAAGACAAAATAGTAATGCCTCCCGTTCCAACTAAAAATAAATCCATTAATAATCATTTTGATTTTCATCAATAATAATCAAGTGTATAAAATTCTTAATATGAAGAGATAAGCAACACACCAACCCTTAAAACATGTGTAATATATTTATTGTAATCATGCAAAATGTAACATTCTTATGGAAACTAATCTTGCTAATATTTCATTAAATTAATGTATTTAGATTTGAAACTATGATTTCAAATAATTATACTGAAAAAGGCAAATTTCTGAATAATCCTACTCCAATTTAAACAAAAAACAGAAAAGAGAACGGCAGCACACAACTTAATATATTATCCAGAGAACAGTTGACAATTTTCTCACAGTAAAGGCTGGATTATAGAAAAAGCAATCATACAACAGCATCTTTCAATGCAGGTATTTAATGAGACAAATTGATGATACATAAATGAAGGCAGCACCTCTGATCCCAGCAGTGATGAATGAAAATGTCCCATTCATTGTAAAAAGCAAATGTCTAGTGATCTGCAGAATAGCCTTTCATCACACTGCAAACCTGCTACAGCTTCCACACTGCATTCATTATTCCCCCTTTTCTCCTGCTACCCTAGCAACAGCAAATATACATGGTAAGGATCGTTTCTGATCTTGTGTTCTGCAATAAGCCGCAATCTCTGTCATTCAGAAATTATTCCCTCCATGAAAAGTAGATTTAAAAAAAACCTGGAAAATATGAATGGATTTCTGTATATGTGAATGGAAGAGCTGGCTGGCATACCAGCATTTCTGTGAATGAAGCAGGGCCTGGCAGGCTCTACCAGGCAGTAATTCCTTGGATGCTAACTATGTGGACCAATAAGATGCAGCCAGGATGACTCATTCAACAAAGGCTTGCTAAATAGTGGAAGATTCCATTTTGCACACAGGTAAGATATTTCTATACGTATAGAATCCACAACTAGGAATCAATAAATGTCTCCAAGTAAATAATGAATACATTACTGCAATATTCTTCTCCAGCATATGGTATGTGTTTGTGTGTGTTCCTCAAAATTCATTTAGCAAGTTTATGTTTACTAGACAATGAAATAAATTCATACATACCTTGATGCTTATGAATTCTTACTGCAAGTATACCAGATGCTGGGCATGATCCAACCTTTGCATGAAGTCCCTTACCTGAGAAGAAGGATTATTGGGACTTTGGAGTTATGATAAAGGTGAGTAAGAAGGGGATGTGGAAATGCATATGATTATGCATGACGTAGTGAAATACATAGCTTTTCTCTTAATACTACAACTTAGATCAACCAATACAGATTGTACTTCAAACAATGCATAGTCATTGCATACTGCTGAATTCAATGTTACAAAATGGAGGCAGCAAATAACCATAAGTGACTTAAAAAGGGATTCGACAAATTTATGAGGAACAGAGCCACAAATGGCTATTAATCAAGATGGCCAAACCTTATCTATAGCTTAAAAAGCACTATTCCTCTAACTAATGATTGCAGTGAAAGATCTGTGCCCTTTATGGTCTTCCTGTAATTATTTGAAGAAAATCAGTTCATACAAAACAGGAGGTTAAAGTGGAAACACCAATGAACTGAATGGAAAGGTCTTTTTAGTGCATTGTAGGTACACTTAGCATGCCATGACATTTCTACATATGTGTTTCTTCAATGTTCCTAGGCAGATTCACCAAGCAGCTTTAGTTGTTTCTGCTACATTGAAGCAACAAAGAACAATTATTCTAGATAGTGTGGAACTTCTCCTGGTACTTTAGCTCAATTTGGCACGAACATTTATATAATTATATTAAGGACAATGACTACTTTTCATTATTTTCAAATGAAGAGAAATTAAAAGATATAAACAGTTATCACAACTTTGAGGGTTGCTATCGAAGTGCATTTCACTGTGTTTAAGCCTTTGCACAGAATTTAGAGCTCTAGATGATACTGTATTTCTTTACACGATGGGGAAGATAATGCTAGAATTTTCTTAATATTTAATTTTGGGATAGGTTAAATTTTTGAAAAAAACGGTTTTAATGTTTGGGCATTTGAAAGATTCATTTGAATCTTTTCATTTAACTCTGGTTGGGAGTTTACTCTTAAAGATTTGAGAACTCTTTTTAATCCCAAATTGGCATTAAAGATGCCCTCCTAAAACCCTTAGTTTTTGCCTCTGGTTTGTCAGATGTGTGGGATTTGACAAGCATGACACTAATATGAAGTACAAAAAATGAATTTTGGTATAATTATGAAGTAAAAGAGGCTGTGAAAGGGAGGAAAATGCATGTCAGGGAATGATTGCTGCAAATTATATAATGCATATATAGGAGGAATGTTTCAAAGAATAGTGTCAAGGGGATATAGAAACAGTCAAAATTAAAAGAGAGGAAGTATAGCTCAATGGTGACAGAATATAACATAGCAATGAATGGATTACCTGGGTGAAGTAAGAGATTTGTATGAGGGGTGATAAAAATGAATGCTACAAATGTTAATGGTCAAGGAAAAATTGATGACAAGAACATACTTAATGTGAGAATATTAAAAATGGCTAAGGCTGCATGAATGGATGGTATAACAGAAGAAATATTAACATATGAATGTGGTTTGCTTATGGAACAACTGAAGGCTTGTCGTAATGTTACTAAAGTGCTACTGTTAAGGACATGAATCTGTGTGAGACTTTGTATGTAGAGAATGATTGTTGCTGGGTAAGAACCTGAATGATTTTCAGTGCATGCTAGATAGAATGAATGCTGCAATAAGAGTATGGATCTGAAAACTATTATATCAAAAACCAAGTACTTGATAGGGAAACAGAATAAACAAGTGCAGCTTGTACATAAAGAGATAAAAGCAGAATATACGTCAGTAGAATGCTTACTAAAAATAGGGAAATGGATGCAGTATTTTTCAAATATACAAATACTAATAGAAAAGTGGTAGGTAGTATGGGGTCTGTCATGAGGAGCGGATACTTCACAAAAGTATTGTTATGTAGAAGTGAGAATTAGGCATGTCACAGATGATGAATCAGAAGGAGCAGATTAATGGGTACTGAATGAATATGGATTACAGTGAGCAGTACAAATGAAGTATATTTGGGTGGTTTATTCATATAAAGGGAATCAGTGAGAACTGAATCACAAAACAAATGTGATAAGGAAAAATAAACAGGTTGAGAGGAAGAAGACAAGAAAGTCTTAGTAAGATGATGAATTCCTTAAAAAGCAAGAGATGCAAAATTTAAAGAGCCAAAGGCAATGTATGAAGCATTGTATGGATATGGAGGGATCACATATGTTTTGCAAGAATAAAAAGCTCTGGAGAGGTATAATGAAATATTTGGTTTTAGCTGCAGTTCCTTTGCATTTTCTGATCTCATGCTTAAATTGGTTTAACATTCTCTATTCCTTTTCTCTTTTTTTTCGTAAAGGATAAAGCTGAAAGATTTGTATGTATGTGTGCATACATACATTCAGGGATGAGGAATTCCCACAGATCCACTTTTGAGATCCCTTTTCTTCACAGGTGATTCTCTCAATTCTCTACTGAATCTAACACTAACATTCCTACTTTCTCGCATTTTCATATGTTCAGTGTGTCCGTGTTCTCTTTTTCTCCAAATCTGTTTAGCTAATGTCCCTCAGAGTTTTAGGTGATGTTTCTACTTTAACATAGTCAAAGCCTTATTCATAAGGCTTTTAAAAAATGATGAAGGGCCTGAGCCTCCCCTCCTGTCATCTTCTCACTGCTTTCTCCATTGATTAGGTTTTTTTCTACTGTTTTTTTTCCAACCCAGAACCCATGAACTGGGAGTGTTTGCGGGAACTTAAAATGCCCCTTGTTAAGTGACTATTTTGCTGCTTTGACCAAAAATATTGATCTATAAAATCATTTAAAATCCTGAGTCACATGATGACTGCCCTCTTCAGTGAGAGCCCACAACAATTGGTTGAATCCCTTTAAAAAGGCTTTCATTAATCATAATTTAGGGATTAGGTGGTCCACGTAGCACTATTTTATAATTACAATCTTCTCGTGTCTTCATTTATACCACTTTCATCATCATTTTCCTTACCAGAGAAGGAATAAAATCGGAAATGTAGAAAAGGGAAATAAAATGCATGGCTAGAACATGTCAGGAGGCACTGTCTTTGCAGGAGATTTCTTGTGCCAATACCTATACCCCTTAGCTAATAAAGCAAAAGTATCAGTGAGTAATTTTTTTTGTTCTTCCTGTTTTATACTCTGACCTTGTTGGCAAGGGGGCAGTTATGGCTTTCTTTATAAACAGAGTAGAGTCAATAGACTCTCCACTGCATAGGTCTGTGATGGTGAACCTATGGCACACGTGCCACTTATGGCATGCTTCCCTGAAGCCTCCGGAGGGCAGAAAACAACC